GTCAAATCAGTTGGTAAAATAAAGAGTTTATTGTTGTTCAAAGTAAGATTATAATTTGCTATCTATCCTGCACAACGATTTCCTTCATATAAAATATGGTTGAATTTGATATGTCAATTCTTTTAAATCTTTCTTTTGATTCTACGGAATAAGGTTGAAAAATTATAATCATCCATACTTTTTTATTTGACTATGTCTATCAAGAAATTAGAATGACACGACCACTAAATTTTTAATTCTCTCTTGCCAAGCTAGATCTATCTCATGCAACATAGATCACATCGCGATAACGAGAGCGTCACATAAATCAATTTTTTGTGTATATCCACTAATTTAATTTTGTGAAGAGTCTTTGAATAAGTCTCTGCTTCCGATCATGAACGTAGAGCTCAGTATCATCACAATTGAACTTAATCCAATTGTCATTTGAATGACACTAACGAATATTTACGATTTTCAATTTCAACAACTCAATCTTTGCGTATACATTTTAAAACCTTTGTTGATGAAGAGAAAGAAAATATATTTTGTAGATTGCATTTATCGTGAAAATCGGATAAAAAGTCGAAAGGAAAAAACAAATCGGTCGGTGAATAGTGTCTTCCGTACGGTGAATAGTGTTGTCCGTACTGTGAATAGTGTTTGTGTTTTTGGACTTTTTTTCTGATTCGATCCATGTGATTTTGGACTTTGTTTGTTGGGTATTTGCTATTATAAATATGTAACTTTTATATACTTGATTGTGACAATCTTAGAGTTTTCACCAACAAGGGAGACCAAGGGTTTAAAGGTATAGCATAGGGTTTCAGTTATACACAAAGAAAATCTTGGATTACACCTTGGGTTTGAGTGATTCATATATTGAGAGAAAGAGTTGGAGAGGTAGGGAAACAATTGGGTAGAAAATAAGGTTGTTCTTGGGCGCCTTCAGGGTTGTTCTTGGAAACCTGAAGGCGAAAGCTATTTTTTATAATTCATTTGTAATCTCTTGTAACAACTTTCTAAGTATAGTGAATTGGAGAGACGCTCTCTCCCCTAAAGTAGATCATTTGGTCGAAGTGGGTAAACAAACCTTCGATTTTTTTTTGCCTTATATTATCTGTGTATGCATTATTATTGCTTAAGACCATTTATTTTAGTTGTTATTGTTCTTTGCCTCACAAATTAATATTAAATTTTGTCGTAATTCATAACAAGATTCACAACAGTATTGTTAGGATGTTGAAATCCCACTTCACTTCCATTAGTACTAACAAGAGATCATAAAAAAAGAACTTCATATTTGCTTAGTTAAAATTTACAATATAAGATCAAATCCATGCATAAAAGAGAATAAAACTAAATCATATTACAAGAAACAAGTTTTATAATGTTATATTTTTTTTTCAAATATGCATTACATAAATTAATTACATAAATTAATAAAAATGTTAATTCACGTATATGACATCTTTCTACTTACTAAAACGAAAATTGATTAAAATGTCATTTACAACAACTATGATTCGTTAATTGTTTATCAATCAAGAAAAAAAAACTCTACGTAATTGCATATCGATTAGAATAAACAGATTACTTTTAGTTACATGGCAAAATTGATTTTAATATTTAATAATGTTTTTAACTAATTAGATGATTTATTAATTAATAATTTTTAAAAAATAATTAATAATCAATTTAGCTTAATTTTTTATTAAATTAATTAATTAAAGGTCCTTTATGAAGTTTACTAGCCTAACTAACCCGATACGTTTTTCAAGTTTAAATTATATAAACTATTATCTAATTTGTAAAGCAACCGATGTGGGGTATAGTAATAGTTACATCAACAATGCCCACTCTACATGCTCCAGCTTTGAAGCGGAAAAAATGTTGGAAATAGCACTGTGAAGAGTAAAGTTAGAGTTCATGTGAAGTTCCAGTGTACATGAATCCTTTTGAATGCAAGAATGATTAAGCGAAGCTAAGCTTTCACGACATCACATCCATGTCATTAATATAGTCAACTACAATTATTGTCTGCAGGTGTGTACAGATCCAAAATTGATTTCATTATCGGAATCACATATGCATTTTTTCTTGCTGCATTCTATCTCTCTATCACAGTTATTCACCACATCTCCATGTTAGCACCTAAAACTAAACATGAAAATGATAAATGTTGTAAGGAAGAAAGCTGCCAGAATGAAACACTTTTTTTTTTGTTTGCTAATCCTTTTGGGCGCTGATGAAGATGGTTTACGTGTCGATTGAGATATGATATAGTCCCAAACTCCCACATGACTTTTTTAGATGATACCTTATACTAACTATTATGATTGACATTACATACAAGTACTAATGCAAAGGGATCAACTAATTACAATTAAATATAGGATTGGACAAACGGTCCAGGCCCGAACCGAAACCGACAAAACCGTGATAAAAAATTAAATTCAGATGGGATGGATCGGTTGTGCGGGTCCAACGGTTGAATTAATCAGTTTCAAATGGTTAATATTGGGCCGGTTCAGACTCACACATCTGAACTATATAAAACTGAACTGATCCATATTAAAATTAAAATAAAAAATATTAATATAATAGACATTAACTCACTTCACTTTAATCAGTAAAAACAATTTTTCTCTCATTCTCTTTCAGACGTTGCGTTTCTTTCATTTCATCTTTCATTTCATTACTTACAAAACTCAAATCCTAGCCACAAAAACACATTGCCAACGTCAATGTAACAACCTTAAAATGGTTTAGAATCATCCATCTTTTACCATGTATCTTGTTCATTAGACTAATTTTCACCTTCTTTTTTGGCTAAGTTTTTATTTGGGTAATCATTTTCTTCCTCTTATTCTCTTTTTCAATTTCTTATTTCTTCTTTGTTTCTTCTATGTTTGAAATAGCTTAAAATATTTTACAATAATTTCATATTTTCTCTAACTTTTTGTTCATATATGTTTTTGATTTTGTATGTAGGTTTTATTTTGTTAATGAGTTTTTAAAGTTTTAAAATTTTAAAATTTTTCCCTTTCTTCTACTCGTGTATATTTATTCAATATCTATTTTTTATTTATTTTGATGCATCAAGTCTAATTTTTGTCTGTTGGATTTTGTTTTGTCATGGTTGGATCTATATTTTAACATCGATGATCCCCTAGAAAAAAATACCGTCCAAAGGTATGTGTTATTGATTTGTGTTGTTTTGTTTATTTTAATTAGTGTTTTTCCTTTTCTAACATTTTTTTGCTTTGATTTTGTAATTTTGGAAACAAAATCATTTTTGAAAAAGGAAAAAAAGTCATTTGAAGGTATATGTTAATGATTAATTTTTTGTTACTTTGTTTATTTATATTAGTGTTTTTTCCCCTTTTTAACATTTTTTCTATGGAAAGAGAAATATTTGTGAAAAGAAACATACAAGGTAATTATTGTTTATAATTTGTCTATTTTGTTTATGGGAGAGTTCTTAATTTTGCTACAAGTAACAACTACTATTTGTATGTATTGGAATTAGAAAGATGGAGCAAGAAGGTAATGGCAAACAAGGATTAAGTGCAAGACAAAGTGTGGAGCAAGGTAGTAGTAGAGAAGGAGACGGAGTTGGACTTGGTGCTATGGAGCAACAACATTGTAAGTATATTATAGTTGTTGTTGATTACACATTGATTTTACGTTTAATGTAGTTGATCCTTTGTAAATAAATATTACAACAACTAATACATTATAATTCTACTAGTTAAACTTCCTTTTCTTAGGCCAAGTGAAATAACTTGTTTGTCTTTATTTGTTTATTTTGTTCTTGCTAATTAAACTTGTACATTATAATTCTACTAGTGAAATTATTATTAATGATTATAAAGGATAGTAATCAATGTTGGACCACCTCCACTATGTTTTGTGTATTCTTCTCTAAGTTGTATTCCTAGTAATTAAATTGTTATTATTTATCAACCACCAAATGAAGTTGTAACTGCAGCTGAGGTGGTGAATGAGGCCCATATTCCTTCTATTGACAATAGTAAAAAGAAAAGGAAGCCTAATGTTGATGGTCTTAAGAACAAATCTTCATGTTGGGACCATTTTATCGAATCAACCGATGTGGCTGAAAGGACTGTTGCCTGCAAGCATTGCCATAAACGATATAGATGTGATCCTAAATCACACGGAACGTCTAACATGCTGGCCCACTCAAAAATTTGTAACAAAAATCCTTACCTAGAAAATGACCTGAAACAAATAAACTTTGCTTTTGGAAGTGGTGGCTTGATTTCTGTTAGCGCAAAATTTGATAAAGAAGCTTGTAGAAAGGAAATAACTTTGTTTATTATCCTTGATGAACACCCATTTAGAGTAGTTGAGAATGAGGGTTTTAAGATCTTATGTAAACAATTGGAACCACTTTTGATTATCCCATCTAGAAGGACAATTGCTATGGATTATTTTCAGTTGTATCTAGATGAGAAGTTGCGATTGAAAAATTATTTTAGGTGTGATTGCAGCAGGGTATCACTTACTACTGACTGCTGGACTTCAATTCAAAACCTTAGCTATATAACAATTACAGCCCACTTTATTGACAATGATTGGAAGTATCAAAAAAGGATCATTAGCTTTAGCTTAGTTCCTAATCACAAAGGCGAGACCATTGGTAGGAAACTTAAGGATGTGTTAAGGGAATGGGGTCTTAGAAATGTGTCTACAATCACTGTTGATAACGCAGCATGCAATGATGTGGCTGTAGCATATTTAAAGAAGATAATTCATATTAAGAGTGGATTAATGGGTGAAGCTGAGTTTTTCCATATGCGTTGTTGCGCTCATATTCTGAATTTGATTTTTAATGATGGATTGAAAGAACAAGGTCCAAGCATTTATAATGCATGAGATTTGTGAGGTCTTCACCGCAAAGGGCGTTGAAATTCAAAGAGTGTGTTAATTTTTTTTGGATTACTTTTAGGAAACAACTACGTCTTGATGTTTCCATAAGGTGGAACTCGACATACATGATGTTGGATGCTGCTGAGAAGTTCCAAACAGCATTTGAAAAATTAGAAGGAGAAAATGTAGGGTATGTGGAGTGGTTTGGACGTCCTGATCCTCCTTGTTGTAGTGATTGGGAAAAGGTTAGAGCTTTTGTGAAATTTTTGAAAATTTTCTATGACGCCACCGAGGTCTTTTCTTCATCTCAACAAGTGTCATTGCACACTGATTTCCATCAGTTATCATCTGTTTTTTGTGAGCTTCAAGAAGCATCTATGAACTTGAACTCTGATTTAGCCTCTGTAGGATATGAGATGAAGCGTAAGTACGATAAATATTGGGGAGAGGAAAAGAACATCAATTAATTTCTCTATTTTGGAGTGATTTTTGACCCTCATTATAAGTTTAAATATATTGAGAGGTCTTTTGATCAAGTTTATGGGGAAGGGACTGAAAAATCTATGACAATGGCAAAAAATGTCAAGGATAATTTGTTTAAATTGTACACCTGGTACAAATCTGCCCATGACCAAACTAATGTGACCTTACAATCTGTCCATTCTGTTGTAGATGCTCAACCTAGAAATTCTTCACATTTTCTAAGGGCTGATGTTTTTTTAAGCAACATTTGAAGGATAAAGATACCATTGATAAACAAAATAAACTTGATAGGTACTTGAATGATTCTTGTGCAAATGATAATGAAAAATCATTCATTCTAACTTGATGGAAACAATACATACCTCGTTACCCAATCCTAGCAGCAATGGTGACAGAAATTATGGCTACCCCTGTATCAACCGTAGCGTCAGAAAGTGCATTTAGCACTGGGGGGGAAGGGTTTTAGAATGTTATATGAGCTCTTTGAGTCCACAAATAGATGAAGGGTTGATTTGTACTCAGAACTAGTTAAGGCCATCTCTTACATATTTTAAAGACGTCAATCACACATAAGAGTTTGGGATAACTAAGGAAATAATATCAGGTTCCGAACAGACCACTGTCAATTTTCGTCGGCCAAGTCAACCACCACCCGTCGATCCGATCTCTAAATACTCTTTTGTGTTCTATTTTTTGTCAAACTCAAAACATGTTTTCTTTGTCTTGATCACTTTAGATATGAAGGCATACTTCTACATAACTAAAACCACTTTGATTAGATTTCACACAAATAGAAGATATTATTTTGTCATCCATTAGTTGCTTTATACACAAACGAGAAAAATACAATTTTTTTTCATTCATAAGTACTGATGTCTCTGATTTAATTAATTTTATATATTTATGACTTGTTTGAACTTTTCTACTCACATAAATTTTGTGACATTGTTTGAAAGACCTTATCAAAATAACTTGACATTTTTTATAAACTTTTTAAAACTTATTTGTATATGTTCTCTAAAATAATTTATAAAAACAATTATACAATCTTATTGATAAGCGCTTAATTTGAGTTTATTAGATAGATGTACTTAAAAAATATACAGGTGAACACATTCTCACAATGAGAAAATTATGAGTCCGATTGTTTTGACATTTTTTAAAAATGATTTTTATAATGTAATATAATTTTATATAAAAAAATTACAAAAATTTTTTTCACAAAAACTGCAAACGAAAATTTGTTTTGAATAGTTATTTTTAAATATTTCATCATTTTATTAATATCAAAATTTCAAAAAATAACTTAATTTAGAAACTATTTCAAATAGATTTTCATAAAAATCATTTTTGAGATACAAATTTTTTTAAAAATTACAATTTCAACTGTATTTTGATATTCAATAATGTGTATTTATGTTAAATAATGTTAAAATTAGTCTTTCAAATTAGAAAAAAAAAACAAATATAAAATATTTAAAATATTTTTAAAAACAATTTTATAAATTTATTTTTAAAAATAAAAATAAAAAATCCATTTTTTAAAAGGGAAATAAACATATTCTATATACTCGTAGATATAAGTTTTCACAAAAACAATATTCTACCAACAACATAGTATTCTTTTAATAGAATGATTAATCTAAAAGATATAATCTTCTTGGAACAACATTGTATTCTTTTAAGAGCATCTTTAATGGGAGTAAACTAAATGGGTAAACTAAGATATTTTTTGTGGGCCCAAAGTGTTTGGTAGGATTTAAAAAATTTATAATTGATTTGAGTAGTTTTTACTTTAATGATGGTTGTCTATAAAAAAACCAAAACTTGACCCCACTATTTTCAAATATCATGTCATTACTTTAATGTTGTTGGAATATTTTATTAATTAAATAAATAATATTATAATATATTAGTTAACGTTAACTATATAGATGATGAGAACTAAATTTTAGTTCACTTAGATGTCATGTCAACTCTACTATAATGCAAATTCTTTATTACTAACGTAAATTATTCAAAATTTTGGTTTAACAATCATGCACTAAAGTTGCTCTAATTCAATGACTAATGTGATGCTATATTTCATTGTATTTCTCAAATATCAAATGTTTCTATCAAGTACCATAAAATATTTGTTTCTAAACAACAAACATTTTTTTTTCATTTGTTTAACTTTACATCAATATTTGTTTGTTTAACAAAATATCTTTGGGAATTAATTAAAAAATAATTAGATTATTTCCAAATTGAATTCCTCTAAATATGAATATTCTATGCCCCATAATGGCCTATTAAAATTGAAATTACTATTATTGTAGAAATTAGCTATGATTTTGAACAAGAAGGTAGGGTGCGAAAGCTATGGGCTGAAATAACTAATAGGCAGCCTGTGTTTATTTCAGCCAGTCCAATTAATCATAGAAAGAATCTACTACTACTACTTCTTACTCCTCATTTGTGCATATATGTCCTTTTTTTAGTTTATTTATTTTTTAATATATTTTTGTTTGATAAAAATTTATCAAAATTTTTTTTATAAAAACTTCAAATAAAAAATTGGTTTGAAAAATTATTTTTTTTAATATTTTATCATTTTATTGGAAAAAAATTGGATATCAAAATTTCAAAAGAAATTACTTAATTTTAAAGCTATTTTGAATAGTATTTCATAAAAATTATTTTTTAAATACAATTATTTTTTAAAAACTACGATTTTGACTATGTTTCCATCTTCATTAATGTATGCTTATGTTTTAAAAATTAATCTTTAATTTATAAAAAACAAATTTTTAAAAAAAATTAATATTTTGAAAAACAATTTTATAAAACATTTTTTTAAATATAAAGAAAAAAATATATTTTTTAAAAATAAAACAAACGGGATCTATATCACCCGCTAAAACTTGTAAAAAAATTATTAAAATGTCTTTTCAAATTAGAAAGTGATAATATAAGTTAAAATAACAGTAAATACAAATAAGATTTTAACAGGTGGAATTGAGATTGTGAGGTTAGATCTAATGATTCTATCTTTTGCATTTAAATGATCAGTTATGTATATTCTTAGTCATCAATTAAAATTATCACTTATTGCCATGAACTTGTTGTTTATGTCTAAACAACAATGTGGAATTAGTCGTATTGCCAGGGCCGACCCAAGGGTAAGGCGGCCTAAGCAAGAACTTTAGGCTTCAAAATTTTGGGCTATAAAAATGCCTCAAAAAATTTTAATTTGGTCATAAATATTTTAAATGATATATTTCTTACATAAAATCTTATTATTGAGTTGGTAGAAGAGATGTCCCGTATATTTTAGGTATTTTGTTCTACTCTTGTCAAGTACAAAATTTGATTTTATTTATTTATTTTTAAGGCCTCATTTTAAAAACTTCTTTAGGCCTCTAAGCGGGTTGGGTCGGCCCTGCGTATTGTCTAATAAACAATTTCTCAACTGGTAAACCAATACGACAAAGTTAAGATTCGATATTATATGTGAATGTTAAACTAAAATCTGTGTCCAGAGTTTAGCATCTAATGTATGAATATCTTTGATCTAGTGAAGAGAAGTATATTTCAATATTATTTCAAAACAATTATAACAAGTTATAAGTAACTAATTTATAATAAGCATTAAGAACGAAGATAGTCATCAATATTAATGAATAATGAGAACATACATAACACCATGATCAATATGAATACATGAGTGTTTGAATAACTATATATAACCTTGTTGTTCATTTTAGATTGATTGCATTATTCAAAACAACAAGAAGTAAGTGCAAGTTATTTCTGGTGCAGAAGGGGCACATGTCGAACACGATGTTCCAACATGTGTATTGCAACATTTAGTCTCTGACAACAAACGTATGGTATTGCAGTTTTAGTTCAGAATTCTCTAATCCAAGATTCACTCTACAAAGAAGATTTATATTTCATGAGAGAAAAGTTAATTTGGATGTTTTTGTGCAACATGTGGAACACAATGTTCCAGCATGTGTGCAATGCAACATCTGATACTGATCAGCAGGTCACGATGTTCCTCATATGTAAGCTTTTTGTATTTAACACATTCACGTCCTGATACAAACTATTTTGTTTGCAAGTTAAGTCAGTATTTGTCAAAGTCATCCAACACTCATATGCAAGTTGCCACAAGAATTATGTGTTATATAAAGAATGCACATGCTCTAAGATCATTTTTCAAAGTTGGCTCCAACCTCAAACTAACAGGATTTACTGACTCTGATTGGGACACAGCTTGTTTAAACATCTACCTTAGAATCAGTCTTATCATTTGGAAATACAAAAAACAACAAGTCGTCTCAAGATCTTCCTCGGAATTTGAGTATAAAACTCATGTTAACACATCATGTAAAGCTCAATGGTTAATGTTCCATTGTGGAACCACAATTTTTCAGTGAACTGTGAAATAGGACTTTAACACGGCAGAGTACGCTTCTGGTACGGTGGAGAAAGGGGTTGATTTGCAAGATTAGCATTTAAGCGCTCAAGCCAGTAAGAGAATGAAAAGTGATATGAAGGTGAGAATGAATTTGAATCAGAATTTTCCCCTCACGTGGGGTCCTTTATATATGAATATAGTTGGAGCGGTCTAATTTTGAATCGGAGGTGGACTTTCTCTTATTAAGAATTTGGTGGCTATAACAGGTGTATTAGAAATGAAAGCAATATCATATACAGATAAAAGTCAAATAAAAGAAAGAGTCTTCGGAACCCTAGTTGCAAAAAACACCGTAGCCAATTATCATGATCATCTCATAACATATTACCTTGACCTTGACATTGATAACAATACAAACTCTTTCATCAATGAAAAGCTACAAAAAGTCAAAGCAAATGTGGGTTTGGAACACCAAGAAAGAGTTATTGGACAGTTATTAAAGAATGATTTCTTATTACGGTCAAATCATTTATGTGCCTCTGTGCACTTTTCTTTTAAACTTTTCATAAAATTTAG